CCCTGGGTAGAGTGCCATGGCATCACAGCTCACAGCAACCTCCAACTCCTGGGCTCAAGCGAGTCTCCTGCCTCTGCCTCCCAAGTAGCTGGGACCCCAGGCGCCCGCCACAACGCCTGGCTATGTTTTTTGGTTGCAGCTGTCATTGTTGTTTGGCAGCCCGGGCTGGATTTGAACCTGCCACCTTAGGTGTATATGGCTGGCGCCTTAGCCACTTGAGCCACCGGTGCCGAGCCTGAGTAAGTGTTCTTGCCCTGGCTGGGTTACAATTTGGTTTTATGTGTTTACACAGAAAATAAATTTCTTAATACCCAGGGCCAAAGAAGGTTGATCCCAGGTGAGAGGTTAAGGTCCCCCCCAAAAAGATTATTCCGAGGCACCAAACGAAAGGAAAACAGAGTCCCTGTTCTGAGTGGGCGATGTGGTCTTTATTCCACCTGAGTGCAGATGGGGTGAAATCATAAAGGAATTCCACACATGGACTATGCAGATGGGGATTTATAGGGGCAGGGGGGCAGGGATTGTTACATTCATTATTTCCTGGGTGGGACATGTGCTGGATCCTTCCTGGTAAGGTCAGTTCTACCTGGATAGGTCAGTACATTGATTCTATCATCAGGTGAAATGTTTGCAATAAAAGGAGTGAGGATGAAGAGAGTTGCATCTTTTGATTAAAATAATTGCTTACCACTGTGTAAAACTTGAATCTATTTCCTTATGGGGTTAGACTGATGAAATCCTCATGTGTAACTTTAGTAACATATAAATTGAAAGAAGACATTCTCAGTGTTTTAAATATTTTATATTTCCAAGTGGAGAGTAAGTGTATTTATAATACTAGGTGAATTTACGGAGGTGTTTGGGTAATACTAGGTCATGGAGCTGCTTACTTGTTGTGGAGCAAAACTAATCCTCCGAAATATCAGGCCCTTCTCCCCCTAAGGAGATAGTTCTATTTCCCCCATGCTATAGCCTTATCTCCCTGTCCATTTTTCCTTCTAAAGATAGTTCAGATAGAAAGTTCTGGCTCACTAGCTGAGAGAAATTGACTTGAAGTGTCAGCCCTATCCAGTAGAAGTCCAGAATTTCCAGAGTTTCTGGGTGGTGGATCATTCCTTTGAGCTCTAATCTTGGGAGTTCCAGGAGATTATATTATTATTATTATTATTTGCAGTTTTTGGCTGGAGCTGGGCTCAAACCTGCCACCTTTGGCACATGGGGCCGGTGCCCTACTCCTTGAACCACAGGAGCTGCCCAAAAATCACTTTATTTTGGCCATTAGAGTTTATTATTATTATTATT